AGGAATGGCGAACGTAAGGTGAGGAGAAGTACTGGAGAAAACCAGAACCGTTTGGGTGATACGAACAGGGCTGTTTGTTAGGCAACGGCTCAGTACAAACTAATCCTACTCCATGAAGCAGCTTTAATGCATTGAGCAATACTGGAAAATGGTACCCCAGTCAGGTCCTACTGATGTTCAGTAAGAACCACATACCCAGATACTGTACCTCAACCTCGTTTGGCCAGAGAAGCCAGTCTTTAATCAACACTAGGGCACAGTAATACTATATTTCTTGACTGGAAACAAGGGTCAGCAATATGAAACACAGGATACTGGTTTATTATAAGGGGACAGTATTTCTCCTGCCATCAGTCTCTTTAGTATACGTTGATACAATGCTTAATTATACTATTCAGCTATCCTGACTTTATTTTGCTGTTTAAAATGGAAAACACAATGGTTATGACAACTGGTTTTTAAATTACAAAAATTTTTTATGTACATTTTTAATCCAAGTGCTGCATTTTAAGTAGGAATGAACATAATGGATTCAACCATTGCTAAAACCAAGAGGGCCCTGGTTCAACAGAACATGATTTTGTTTCCTAGTATGGGGCTGCCAAAGGGAGCACACAGGTGCTCCCTTGAACTTCTGAGCGCACCACGTTCCTAAACAATCCACATCTATATTTATTTTTGCCAGATTTCAGTCCCTAATAACACTTGAACTTTGCAAAGAACACAGGGTTTCTTTTTGCCAGAGAAAATGGCAAAATGAGGAAAAGAATCATTTCCTGATTTAAGAAAAACCAAATCCTGTATTTAAGAGTTAATATACACCACCAAATAGATAACTTTTCCATTGTTTACTGTGCCAAGATGCATTTTAAATTAGTTTAATTATTGACTGGTCATTGCTAGAATAGGTCCTTCAGTATATCCACCATGTAAAACTGTGGCATCTAAGACAAGCCAGTGAAAACAGGACCAGAACATACACACCATCCTCCATCAAAAAGCTTCTACTGTATTACAATAGCTATTACTTGGTCAGTGACTGTTTTTTCTCCCTCATCCCCAAATTCTTAAAAGAAAATTAGAGTTCGATGGTCCTCAAGAGAGGACTTTTTGCTATTTGAAGTTAAGCTCCTTTTAACTACAGGATATCAAGACAATCTTCCTGCAAGAACATGTTTCAATCTTTCTAAGCACTGAAGGTTAATAAAATTAAATCTCTTCTGGAGCTTTGTTGCAGAGATGTTCTCAGAATGAATTCTAAGGTTATCACCAACAGTTATATTGCTTACAGTTGCTCTGCAAAGACTTACACTCCACCTTCTGCCTACTCGTGTAATAGGTGAATGCAACAAAGAGTTTACAGCAAGTGGCCCTCCAGGGATAAACAGAAAGATTATCTTCTAGAACAGGTTAGAGAAATTTAATTGCTACAAAATAAAGTTTTGGTGGACAGAAGCAAAAGGAGATTTACATATAAAGCGTAAGCATCTAAATTTCAGGACAGAATAGAAGACTCAGTTAAAATTAAAGCATGTATGTTATTAGAGCATTTAAATTTTGAGAACACTCAGATAATACTGAATGCTATTATCCAAAAAATCCAGGGAAAATTTATTAAGCATACCCTGTGTTCCGGATTCAACTTGTTCTTAAAAAAAAAACAACAAACCAAAACACAACAGAATGGACACTCCAGTCCAAGAATGTTAACGAATTCAGTGCTGACCTATTCAAGTATCAGAATCGTTGTTTCAAAGCAAAATTTCTTTTTGAGAATTTGTTTTGTTATGAGTGACAGCAGTCCATCACACCAAGTGCTTTCGTTATGATATTACCAGGATATATACATGTTACTTTGCTTAGTAAGAAAGACATTGTCATTGTCTGCTTAGCTCTAAAACACAATTAAACCAAGGTACCTACTGAAGACGTTTCTTTACAACACAGCAAAATATTTGTTTCCCTTAAACTCATTCAGAAGCTGCCAGGATGCCAATACCAGCTGAGCTTTGAAATTTCATGATGCAAAGTTTCTATTCAAAATACTAAATGTGCTTTTTCTAAAAATAAATTGGACCAGAAACAGCTATTAGTTGCAACGTACTTTTTCGTATCCCGACTGAGATAACAAGTTTTAGACATGCTGGTCTCAGCAAACTGACTAGTTAATTGCTTTTATAGAAATCTTACAATAAAACCATTTTTAAGGCAGCTGTTGGCTAAAACATCAAAGCTCAGCTTGGACTAACATTTCTTCAATTGACTGGCTCAGCTGGGATACACGAAGCATGCAGCAGATAAGGTAAACTTCACTTAATGGCAGCCCTTGGTCTAATCAAGTTTATTCTGTCAAGGTAAAAAGCAATACATAATAAGGCATACTGTGCTCCACAATAAACTATTCTGGTTTTGGGGGGTCCTTTTATTAAAAAGTGTAATAAAAATTACGGATTTCATAAACTATAAAACGAGAATAAAGCAATCTTAACTGTGCTATACAATATACTTTTTGGTATTCAGAAAAAAAATCCGTATTAGGAAAGCAGGAGAATGATCACACAGCATTCCCGGCTGTTGTGCACGTTTGAGGGCTCTTTAGTTAAGTGTCCATTTGTACAGCAGCATGCCGGTCTCTGGCCTCACAACATGTACATCAAGGCTCCCGAGCCTTCCATCACTGCGCCACAGTGGAACTCTTCCGCTGAGAGGAAATGGCACAAAAAATTATATTATCTCTACATAGATCTGGTCCCCTGCTAATTACAGTTGGGGAAAAAAAAAATATCTTCATATGCATCCATGGATATCTGACACAACCTCCATAGTGGGGAACAGATCTGACTCTAAATATACCTGGATATTACCATAATATTCAGTAAGTTTCACAGTTCTTGCACTTCTTTGAGTAGATCCTTACAGAGCAAAAAAACCCAACACCTAGCAAGGCAGTTTAACATCTACTCATTGTTTGTGAGTACAATACATTTCTTTTCAATCTATGACCTTCAGGTGTATTTTACACTGACGATATCCTACCTGCTTTCAGGCTACTGTTACTTTTCGTTGTATACAAGAACTGCCTAGCAAGAAAGAGAGAGCACTACCATCAAGCCATCCAAGATGAAATGCAACAGCTTCACCTGTGAATTGCTAAGAACACCAATCCCAGCTGAACTCCCATAGTCTCGCTGCAGCTCAGCCCTCAAAACACTTTTTCTTTTTTTTCTTCGAGATAAATTCATTTTACAGAGGGGAAAAAAAAGAACTGATTGACAGTCCTTCCCAAAGCAAACCCCTTTTGGTTCACCACTTCTGAAGAAGAGAATGAGCAGAAAGTCAAACTCTTCACTGCAGCCCCTTCAACAAAGCCAAGCTCTCCCAGGATGGATATGCCTATAAATAAATACAGGGCCTACTACTGTACAGTAAACAGAGAGCTTCAACCACAACACTTCTCAATCACAGATTCCCAAATGATGGTGCAAAAGTCATTTCAACAGCAATGTCAAGCAGAAAACAGGGCACCGTTTTCCGTGCATGGAAAGACTCTTATCTGAAGCCGCTCTGCACTGGCATCTGCCTCCAGCGTGCAACCAGGCAGGACTCCCAAAGCAATGACTCCCGGCTGCCTGGCCGCACTCCAGCACATCAGCAAGGACCCAGCCAGTTTTGGAGTCTCTACCGCTAGCTCAGTACAGGCAACCAAGCCCAGAGTGGGCCAGGAAGGGAGCCCCGCCAGCAGGCAGGGAACAGGACTGCGGGCCCAATTTATTGCGTTAAGAATTGTTGTAGGAGGGTAGAGAAAAGAGGTGCTTCGGACACCAGTTCATGGGGGTGTCGTAAAAGAAACATGAGACTGGGGATGTGGAGAGATGAAGAGATGGATGCGGATCAGCTCTGGGACTGACTGCCAGAGGGCGGGGAGCTGCTGCCGCCAGTGCTGGCACGCACGGCTGCGAGCTTTGCAAATACAGGATCACTACAAAATAGATTGTCAGACACACCAAGAGAATAAAACAGATTATGTCTTTCATTTTACCTCGAAGTATAGATCCGGAATAACTGACAAAAAGGAAAACGTATTTTAGCAGCTACAATACATGCTATTGGAGACAGCTTTAATTGTCGAAATTCCACTTGAATTTGGACCAATAAATGGAGACTCCATTCACAGGTCGAGCAACATCTTCACAGCTTACAAGACAGATGAACATTACATACAGGGACTAGGCAGGTCCTTTAAAACCTGTTTTTTGATATACCATGAATTACACCAGTTTTCCTTTATTTCTGCAAGTCATCTGTTTCTTTCCCTTCTATATTCTTTTAATTATATCAAATTGCTGGTATGGTAACACTAAATTACAGGTTCAACTCTCCACTGTCACCAAGCATAAGGAAACAAATGCCTTCCCTGCACACTTTTTTAAACAACAGTATGAATCAAGGAGACACCAAGCAAATATTATTAGAGAGGGAAATGCTGGAGAGGACAGACTAGAACCATGAAGAAATCAAACCCATTTCTAATTACTAGGGCTACTTTAGTGGAGTGGGGCTCCAGGACAAAACTTCTCAGGAACGCTTCTCACAGATTTCTCAGTCCCTAGGGCCAATCAAATTAAGGGAATCTTTAATACCAAATCAGATTTGTGACACAAAAATTAAAGTTTAAAATGTGGGTAGTTACCCAGTAAACCAGAAGTAGCAATTTATCGAGTGAAATACCTACAGGATCTACAGGCGGCAACAGGTCTTTTTTCTCTTGTTCATCTTCCTCTTCATCTGTGCTATATTCTTCCATTGTTTCTCCACTTGCAAAATGAATAACCCTCCTTGGAATTCTCTTCTTCTTTCCTATGACACCCAGCTCCACATTCTCAAAGCCTCTATCTCCATTTGCAAGTTGCTATAAAGAAGAAAAAAAAAATCATTATCTCAAGTACATGCTTCTGGAACTGGAAAAGTTCCCCCTTAAAAAACTTCATGATGCATTTAAAATATTTTAGGTTGATTAGCATACGCAATGGACATTTGCAAGAGCTTGGCTGTAGGTAAAAGATAAGACTGAAACGTTATTGTTTGCAGATAGGTAAAAACTAATCTCTTCACTAAAAATAACAAAAAGGTAAGCGCCTTCACTTCAGCATGGGCAGGCGGTATTAAAAACATCTATTCCAAAAGAGCGCTGTGTTATGTAGGAATTTCTTAGCAGGACACTTTTCTTTAAATAATTTGATAAGCACGTAAGTGTTAATATTTAGAAGCATAATTGGTTTTGGAATGCATATCTAATGAAATTAATCTAGTAGTTCATAGGCTGTAGCCACCTCTTTGCAAGCTTAAACAGACACCTCTAGCACAGAAGAGAACGGAATGAAGGATAACTAAGCAGCCAGGCTCAAGCTTTAAAAAGATGCATCCAGGAATCTGCCTCTGTGGGCTTTCACCAGCAACCACGATTAGTACAAGGGACCATGCTAAAAGAACAACACTTCGTCTTGTGGCTAAGGGCATATAAAAAGAGAACTACAATGTCTGGTTTTGTCCTTCCAGCTGCTGAATACTACAATGCAGTCTTTGGGTCACAAGCATTAAAAAAATATATTTCTAGTTCAAAGGCCAATCAATAATTCTTTAGGCTAGTAACTCCTGCGGCCAGAGAATTTTAGTAAGGTTTTGTATTGTATCTATCAAAACAGAGCCTTCACCTTGGTAGAGCTTTTAGATATTACTGCATCAAATGCATAGAGCTGTTTTGAAAACGCTTCTGTCACACACAGAGGAGGACACAGAAGTTAGGAAATGCCAGCCACATGTTTTTAATGTACCACAAAGGTTTTTAAAAATGTGCGAGCTCACGTAACTTAAAACCGTATCATAAGGAATGAGATACATGTACGTGTACACAGAATTCAGGTTGCATAAAACAGGTATGTTCCAATTTTCGGCTGCTCGTCCATGCAACCTTAAATGTCTCCACAGAGACAATTCAAAATTATTTATAAAAATATATATTTTATCACATAGTCGTGAGACATCCCATAATTGCTGCAAGCACAGCATCACCATCCCCGTCTCTTATGCTACATTACGTAAATTAGCTTTACAAGGCAAACGGGCTCGGTTAGCTGGGAAAGCCAGCGGGCATGGTGGAGAGGGGCAGGAGGGGGCTGTGGGGAGCGGAACGGCTTCCTTCATTCCAGGCAACAGATATTTCTCGTGCCCACAGAAAAGAGGGAGGGAAGGTAAAGATCACGTGCTGAGCTCTACGGCGTGGAGAGGGAGCGCACACATTCATCGTCTCTCCTAGCCCTCGTACCACCGCTTCTCAAAACTGCAAGTCATTTCAGCTTCCCCTAGCATTTCTTTAGCTACCATGGCACATTTCGGGCGTTTTCCTGGAGGAGCAGAGCAGAATGAAGTGGCAAGTTTTCAATAGGGTAATTCAGCTGTAACGGCATTACATTTTCATGCAGAATTACATTTTCATGTAGAAAGACAAAACTGACTACACAGGGCCCAGTGCATTCTCTCTGCTGCGTATCAGCCTTGGGAACAGAGCAGGAGCAGAGCAGCAAAGCTACAAAAATATGAATGCTGGAAACGGTGAAGCAATCGAAGCACAGGGAGCGCTCCTTGCTGCTGCTGTAAAAGCGGGCGCCACTTACTGCTACTCAGTTTTGTATTTTTTGGAGCAAAGAGCACCACCGAATCAGCCTTTTATAAACATTTCACGCTCCTTTATTGGCATCATACAATGATGCCATTTTTCATGTTTAGTCACAGTGCTGAAGAGCACTATTTCTTGCGACACAGCATCACAAATATTACTGTGATTAATAACAGCAAGCAACATGAGCCTCTCCTCAGAGCTACTCTAAAGGCACAGCCTCTTCATCTGATTTTGGCTTGTTTAACTCAAACACTTCAAATATTTTAACTCAGAAAAAAATTGTAGTTAATATTTAAAGTTTAAAAAGCAGGCTTTCATTCCCTGCACACCCATCCCGCACTCCACTTAACACTACCTAGAGTAAGCAGCTCCGCATAGCTGGTACTGGTACAAAGTTTCAGACAAATGCAGTAGTTCGTGACAGTAAGAATTCATCAAGAAATGATGAATTTGCTTCCTTTAGTAATCTGGTTCAGAGTCCTAAATTATTAAAGAAAATAATACGTTTCAGCTGCTGCTTTGGTTATTACCTAGTCAACAAACCTGGGTACGGGTTTTAGCCACCATTGTGGCATTTCGCCTTTTAATTTTTACATGCACGTCAATAAAAGCCAACTCTCCCAGCTGCAAGCAGAAAGTCCAGCATCAGTAAATTCTATTTATTTTTCCAAAACTGTGGCAATGCAGAACTACTCTAGAATTGTCAGCTAGACTCACTTTATAGCTCAAATGTATCTCCTGTTTGAGGCTTTATACTTTTGATCTTCCTTCACAGTTGTTACAAAGATCGTTCTTCTCCATGGCTTTGGTCAGGTTGCCACCTCATATTTTTCCACAGGCCCGTCCCTCTCCAACACATTATATGGCTCTTGAAAGACTCAGCGTTTCTCTTAACCTTGTGCCATAAAAGTATTTACTTTGGCTTCTGTTCCAGCAACTATTAGAGACGAAGGCCAGCCACCCTTGTGCTTTCTGCCACATCAGCTAATGCTCTGAAGGACTCTTGTCAACACTGGAAAGCAACTTCCTTTTTCTTTTAGATACCCTGTTGGAATTTTTGTTGGCTTTACGGCACCCACACAAACCTCACCTGTCGGGAAGGCGGCATCTGAAACTGCTGCTCCTTGTTTACCCTCTTTACACCCGCTCTTTTATCTCACCCTTTGGCCAGAAAGAGAGAGAGAGCAGGGCACATTTTGACAGCGTTGGTACAATACCCAGCACAATGGAATTTTAGTCCACACCCAAAATGCCAAAATAAACAAACTACGTTTAAGGATGAGGTGTGCCAGGGCACCTGCAGGTAAGCTAAGAGAGCTCACACAACTAATATTAGGTGATGCAATAACATAAAGTTTCATCAAGGAGAGGAAGAAAAGCAAAAAGCAACAGGGAGAGCAGACTACGCGCTTTGGCATCTTTTAATCTGCTGGACTCAGGTATCCGTATGAGACCTTATGGCCCAAAATGCCAAAGTCTGTGACGTCCACTCTCCCTCAGAAAGATGAGCAATACAATTTGCACAGATCTACTGACCTGACGGTGCTAGTTGCTAGAAGGCTGGTAATAGCTAATGAGAAATATTTCTACCCACGCTATCTTGCCAGCCTCACTGACTTCCTTTGTGTTACTTTTTTTGGCTAGGGTATTTTGGGGGGGGAGGTTGTTTGGATTTGGTTTTGGTTGTTGTTTTTTTTTTTTAGTATTGCTTGACTTTCCACCCTTGTGTTTCAATTGAAATTAACCAGCACGAGTCTTTGCGAAACAGAAGACAACAGAACAGAGTCAGAGGACGCCTGTAAGAAAAGACACCCTCGGAACAGGGAGCCTTGGGAAGGGGCAGTGCACAACAGCCGGCGGGAAGCCGAGGCGACGGCGAGAGGCACCCGGGGAGCCGCGGGG